AGGTCTCTCTGTGGAATGGCTACGTCATGGGCGGAGGTGTTGGTGTTTCCGTTCATGGACGATATCGCGTGGCGTCAGAGCATACTCTGTTTGCAATGCCAGAAACGGCCATTGGCATGTTTCCAGATGTGGGGGCATCATGGTTCCTGCCCCGTCTAAAGATGCAAGGGCTCGGCCTGTACCTTGGTCTCACCGGGGCGCGCCTGAAGGGGGCGGATGTGGCGCACACGGGTCTTGCAACACACTACGTTCCTTCCGCTTCCTTTGCGCAGCTGGAGGAACGCCTGTGCCACATTGACGACCCTGCGAAGGCGGAGGCGTGCCTGGGGGAGTTTGCTGTGAAGGACTTGCCCCCGTTTACGCTTGAGCCGCACCGTGAGATTATTGAGAAGGCCTTTGCATTGAAGGACACGACTACGGTGGAGGGCATCGTTAAGGCTCTTTCTGCTGACGGCAGCGAATTTGCGCTGCAGGCGCTGAAGCTGTTAACCCAAATGTCTCCCACATACCTTAAGGTGGCATTGGAGATGAGCAAGCGGGGCGCGAAGGCGACAAACCCTGAAGAAGTGTTCCGAATGGAATATCTGGGGGCCGTGAGATGCTGTCACAATCCAGACTTTCATGAAGGGACTAGGGCTCTGCTGGTTGATAAGACTAAAGACCCCAAATGGAATCCAGCCCAGCTCTCGGAGGTCACGAAGGATCAAGTTGAGGCGCACTTTGAACCCGTGCGACCTCAACTTCGTCAGTGGTACCCACTTCAGTCATTTTAAGTCTATTATTCATTTTTTTTTTCCATAGCAGCTTTGTCATCTTTAAGCATATCTAGGGAGCGCTCATTTATTTGTTTTTCATTTCTACTGTTTTTTATTTCAGGTCTCCGTGAGTTATGGAGGTGAGAGCTATTGGTGCCCCAAACTTCAATCTGGCTTGTGAGTGTGTGTGAAATGGTAAAAAAGGGGGTGGGGGGCTGAAGCAAAATGATGCGGTTTTATGCACTTCTTATGGTACTGGGATGACCATGGCGTTATGGTGTGGGGTCCGTTTTTTTTTTTTTTGTTGTGTGTGTGTGTGTGTCTGTGTGTTTGTTTTATTCCCCCATATATATATTTGTCTCTGACCGCAGGGTGTCGTCCTTCCTCTTTATTGCGTCTTCTCGCTGCATGCCTTTTGCCCCGCTCTTCTCCCTTTGTTTTGTGCCCCGGTTCCCGGAAGCTGGATTTCTACCTTGTAGCTGCGTGCAACCCACTGCGAATGAGTGAGGGAGCGGACGTTGGAGAGGATACCGGCGGCACATGCGACAGCTGCGTGCCCTCCACAGCAAACAAGGAGAATGGGGTAGGCGTGGCGAACCTGTACTACTCTGCGCTTGGGGCGAAGGGCGTAGCCTCCGCCGCCACACAATGCGAGGGGTGGGGCCGTCACTTCCATCATTCCAGTAGCGGGGGCGGTTTTGCCACTCCCTTCGCGCTCTCCAGCACCCTCGCCCCGCACAGCACCTTAACCCCAGCCGCGGCAAAGACGACGGAAGGGGTGACACAAAAGTCACTTTCGTTGGAGACGACGGAGCCCGACAGCACCATGTCTGAGTGTCTCTCCAGCCTCATGAGCGAGTTTGGACGAACACGACGGCGACGGCGACGCGAGCAGCTGACTCTTGAGAACTCCGTCGACGGGGAGAAGCAGGTGCACGATCTGGAGCAGGCTCTCCAAAGCTTAGAAGAAATGCAGCGGGAGAACAAGGAACGGATGCGGCTTGGGGTTTCCTATGCGTCCTGTAATAGGACGTGGTCTCCCAACGAGAGAAACCCGGAGGTCTCCGAGAGACCAGGGAAACATTTGGTTCATTTTTTTCGCACACAGTCAGTTGACGGCTTGGTGATCTGTGAGAAGCCAAAACGTTGTGCACTGAAACGCGTGATGACATCCTCAGCGATGCCTGAGCCAAACCCAACGACACCAATACCCGTACCGCTCCAAACACAACATGAGAACTCTCCCATTCATGGCAAGTCTTCATCGCCGCCGAACAGACGTGTGAGCTCCGCAATCACAAAAGCGAGTGGATTTTGGCTAGATGAATCTCGAGAATTTGACACGCCGTTTGCTAGGAAAGAATCCAAGTTGCAGACGTCACCGTCTCTAACGACAAAAGTTGCAAGGGAGTCAACGGGCACCGCGGAGAAGCATGCAGTGCCGCCACGAAGCAACCCTTCTCCGCCGTCAAGGGGCCTTGCTACACCCCACAGAGTCAGCAGTGGGGGGGGCCCTCATCGGCCCAGCACGGAGGAAAAAAAGGCCGTAAATAGTCACTGTAGCCTTGAAAGCATCACGAATGGGGTTGACGCAGAGGGGAAGTGGTGCGCGTCACCAGTGATCGACGATGGCAAAGGCACGTGTGGGGAGACAAATAGCGGTAAAAAAGCCAATAGCGGGAAAAGGTGTTTGTTACGCCGTGTAGGGCGTTCTACATCCCCGCCGATTATTATTTTGACGGTGGACTCTAGAAGGAACATGGGAGAGGAGAATGCTAGGCGGCTGCTGAGTGCAGAGCCAATACGGTCTCCAGAGCTGCTTGCACGACTCATGCCACATAACTCTTCTGCTTCTGCACGCCCAGCAGTGAATAATGTGCCAAAAAAGCATTCACCAGAGAAAGCGGCGACGCGATCAGTAATTGTGAAGTCCATGCCACGATCACCCATTGAGGAGGCAGTGTCACAATTACCCACCACGAAGGCCGCGTCTCGATCACCCACTACGAAGGAGCTGCTATCAGACACACGAGCAGCAATGACATCAGAATCCACAACTAAAACAGTAGCGGCAACAACAGCGGCGACAGCAGCGGCAACAACAGCCGCAACGGCAGCGGCAAAAGCAACCGTGCCAAAGGATTCTCCACCGCGGGAAGCCGCAAAGACCCGCGTACCAATCCAGACAAGAAATTCTTTCCTGGGAATGGCTCCTGCGGCTCCGGCTGTTTCCTCTGTTGTTGCCGACAAGCCAAAGGTGGAGGAACGTCAGGCGCCGTGGCGTCAGCCTGCTTCACAGGCCACACAACCATCACTGGGCAAGTATTCTGAGGTGTTGGAGGTGCTAGTCTCCACCGGGGCGGCGTCTAAAACGTCGACGTCACCCACTGACAGAAATGCAGCTAGTTTTCCCATGAGCAAACAGCGGAAAATCAAGACTACTAATGGGTTGCCGAAGACCACTGTTGTCTTTTCAGTAGAACCGAAAACGAAGACGCGTTCACAACCGGAAACTCATCTTGGAGGTTCAGTTCACGCTCCGCTTGCTGTGATGGGGCAGGCGGCTGCGGCTACAATGCGACGCAGGGCAAGTGGGGCGGCCACCCGATTTACGTCTTGGTGTCGTGACGAGCCTGCCTCTGCACTGGATAAGGATGTGCATCGTGGTACGAAGGGTAAATCATCGATGCACAGCTCGGAGGCAGGCTCCAGTGCGCCAAAGCCGCCCACTTTGCAGCAACTTTCAAGAAGACGAAAGAGTTTGTCAGTATTGACGTATGAATCTTCGTTTGAGCGTGATGCCTGCGGCCCCTTAAATACCGATCGTCGAAGGGCCAATAGAGTCAGGGCTGTGAGATGCGGTCCCATTGGGGAAATTCAGTCGCCCAAGCAACTCGTTCCATTTTGTACGGAGTGTGGAAAACGACACCTTAGTGAGAAGGTTAAGTTTTGTGCCTTTTGCGGTCATAAGCGTGAGTCTGTGGGGTGAGTTGGTTGCGTGGGTTTGGGGCGGAGCTGTCACGAGAGGTAGGAGGGTCTTGGCAGTTGTCTTAGCAAAATAATACATGCATACATGTATATCTAGCTACTACCTTCCCACACACGCATCGAGCACGATATACGTGCTTGTTCATGTGTGCATACACACACATGCATGATGTAGTTCTCTGGCCCTCACTTCCCGCACCGGTGTGAGGCGCGTGTTGTGGGTGCAGGGTGCCTGTCGTTAAGAATGACGGTAGAAACGGAGGTGGCATGCGCCGGGGATGCCCCAGCGGTGGAAAAGACGTAAAGTGAAGAAAACAAAAATTGAAGAGAAAAGGACAAAGAAAAAAAAACGAGTTACAGAAGTACCACACTGGATTTAGAGTGAATCTCACCACTCCCCATCCTTCTTCCCTCTCTCTTTTTTTTTTTTTTTTTCTTCTTCTTTCCAGTATGAAATAGTTGTTTTGGTTTTTGTTCTCTTTTCCCTCCATCTTGGAAGATCAGACGCATACGGCAGACAACAGTGACGGCAAAGAGACATACACTGAAGCGTGGTGTAGGGGGTAGCGGAGTGAGAAGGGGCGTGGAAATGGCTGGTGCGATCTGAATAAGACGAGGGAAAAAGAATTAGGGGCAGACAACTCGCTTTATCTCCTGTGAAGTACTAAGTGTGCTTGCAAACTGTGCAGGTCTCTTTCTCTGGTTTTCTCGTTTTCTCTTTCTCTCTTTGCTTTCCCTTCTTTTTTTTTTTTTTTTTTTTANCTGACGCG